GTGCCGTCATTTAAGTAACTCTGCCCATCTCTTCCCATCTCTTCCCATTGGCCCCTCAGACGCCATGTGATCAGCACCAGACCCTCCCAATTTTTACACAGAGAGTCAGAGAGAGAGAGAGAGAGAGAGAGAGAGAGTTATTATATGTAGATAAGAATATTCGCTGAGCTTCATCTCAGGGGTATCACGTGCATTGTCACTCTCATGGCAAAAAATATTACTCTCCACCAACTTTCGTGGCCACGGTAGTTCAAACTTTTAAACACTCATACCGAGAATAATATAAAATCCTATAAAAAAGAAAAAGCCCAAAATTAAGGAAAGGTAAGATTAGGAATGATCGGGCTATTGTATACACAATTTATTATGAACTCAACACAAAATTTAGGACTTGACTACCATCCTAAATAAAAAATTTCAATATCGTACCACTAACTTTTATTAAGTAATTTTCTAATTTTTGTAGACTTATTTATAATTAAAAAAATTATCATTTTTGTAGATGTTTTTATCACTATTATAATAAATATTTTTATCATTTTTTTAATAGAAACGTAGGAATTATATTAAGAATATAAATAAAATAAAAATAAAAATGGCACCGAGATTATATGTTGTTCTATCACAATTCAAAAAAATTAATTATTATTCAATGAAGTTAAATTACTGCTTAAAAAATTAAAATAAATTTTAAACACATTAGGATCACTTCTAAAATTGATCCTAAACAACCTAATTTAATGTAATATCATACTCTTATTCTTTTTTTCCTAATACCTTCAATACATAAAGAAGAACTATTCGGTATCCTAATTCGAAGATCTATAATGAAGAGCAATGCCATTTAGACCGCCTTATTTGTCTAATTAGAGTGTCAGTAGACTCCATTATTAATTAAAATCAGCTTTCAATTCAATAATTTTGTTTTATTGAATTAAATCTAAATAATAGTTTTTCATAATGAATTTTTCCCCAAGAAATTCAACAGAAAAAGAGAATTTCTGATATAGTAAGTTCTAACCCAACAACAGTAAACTGGAGATCAACTCAGAGAAGTGAAGAACTCTCCATGAAAAACCCTAGGATGCTGACACGTGTTTGAGATGACGTCAGCGGTTCTCGAAGTTACGGTGTTGTGCTGTTGATGGTTCATTTGCGGCGGGTCCGGTTGTTGTTGACGGAGGTGCTCTTTCTGTCGCTGGAGTTCCAAGACCTTTCGGTGAGAGTTGGAGTGCTGAGTCAGCACGAAGGTTGGACTCGCGGCGGGTCGGTACTCGGGCACGAGGCGACCCGACTTGAACCTCACGCCACAAGCATTGCAAAGCGTCTTGGGCCCCAACGGTCCCGTTCTCCACTGCGGCGTCTTCTCCGACGCGCAATGCGTGCATCTACGCCCCACCATCTCCCTCGACGCCGATCGATCTCTGGTAAACGCACTCTCTCTCTTCATTGTATCGTTGCTGTTTGTAGTGTCTGGTTTGGAGCTAGGGTTAGCGATCGTAGAGTGAGATGAGGTCCAGGTGGAGGTGGTCGATTTGGAGCGTTTTCTGGGAGAGCAGCTGTGAAATGAACTGTTGTATTTAACATTTATGGTTCCGGCGAAATTGTTCGTCGGAAAATCGGAGAATGAGTCGTCGACGAAGGTAGAAAGCCATTCGAGCTGCGCTACGTCGTCATTCTACAAAAAACCCCAAAGAAATAATCAAAATCAGAACAAACTAACTAAAAATCGAAGAAAAGCTCTCTCTCTCTCTAGCTACTTGACCAGTCTAGCATACAAAATCAGGACAAATTCAAGAAAAATATGGGTTGCGTTTGTGCTTACGGGGACGCAGAGGTCGTCGGTGAAGTCGGTGAGAGAGTGATTGGGATTGGAAGTGTGGAACTGGTTGGCGGCAGCAGAGGTGTTTGCGTGTTGGTGGTCGGAAGAGGAGTCGGTGGCAGTGGTGGAGGAGAAGAGATCATCGTTGGAGAAGTCGAGAAGGTCATCAATGCGAAAGTAGTCCGGCGTCGAAAATTCACCGCACATGTCCATCTTCAGTTGTGTTGTATATTCACAATCTATATATATATGTATATATATATATATGTATTTATCAATGGTGGAGGATTTTGAAGTGGGTCTTTGATAGTCAGGAGGCTCTCATCAGTTCTCCAACTGAGGAGTGAGAGTGGGGTTTGGGCTTTGGAAAGTGGATTTAAAATACTAGGGGAGGAGCAACGGAACGTGGGATGGAAGAGTGAGAGTGACCATGCAAATTCCATAGCGCTCTCTCTCTCTCACACACACAGTGTATATATCAGGGTTATATTTAATCCCCTAAAACGGAATTTTCATAATTTTTTAAAATAAAATTACGAATCGAGTGTTAATCGAATCGAATCGAATTTTTGAGCGTTTGAATTTAAGTTTATCGAATTTATTTTTTATACTAGTTTAAAAATTTATTAAAGTCTGACTTGTTTAAAATTTGAGTCCGAGTTGAGATGAAACTTTTTTAAAAAAATTGATAGCCAAGGTCATCAAAAGAAAAATTAAATTTATTAAATCGATAAATTTATGGGAGAGAACGGAGGTTTTTCTTTTCTTTTTTCTTTTTAAGCAACAGCTAGCTCGAGATGTATAATTATTTATTTATTTTTTATCTTTCCAGAGGCAATTGCATGGAACAGGGGCGATGAATTAATGAATACGACGCCTACGACGGTGGGTGGCGGTGTAAAAAGGTACAGTTCGTACAATTACCTTTTCTTAAAATAAAGTACGCGTAATAATCATCATCGGCTGGAGTCTTGCTTTATTAATTGGAGGATAGCATAGCACTACCACTAGCCTATCGGAAAGTTTTTATTTTTTTTGGTATTATTCATCCAAATGTTTTTTTTTAATTTATTCTTGATTATTAATTATAAAAATAATAAATTAAAATAAAATTAAAAATAAGTAAGTTTTACACTTGTCAAGATTTTATTGAAAGAAAAAAGAAAATATGATATTAAACATTTTTTTTAGTACTATATTTCATGTAAGATCACCAAATTAATATTGAATGAAGTTCACACTAATTTCATAGTTACAATACATTTTTCATATTAAATACAAATAGAATTATTATTAGTGCTCGGATCGTTTTAGAGTTGGGGGGAGAAAGTCATACTATGAATTTCGTCCAATCACGACTGCATTATTAAAAAATTATTATACATTGAATTTTATATTAAGTTTCAGTAGTATTTTTCGTTAATTACAAATCAATTAAAAAAAAAGAATTTCTTATCCTTTGATATAGTACTATAGCTGTCCTCAAACATCGTGGATGGATAACCCAAAGGATAGCACGGTAGAGATAAAAACGAATTTTAAATTAAAACGTTTTAAATTTAAAATTTAGTAATTTTTAAGGGGTTAAGTTATGAAAAATTTATTCATTATAAATTTTTTAATATTAGAGTGGATAATTTATTTTTAAAAAAATTAAAAAAAATTAATCGAAATACATATAAATAAGTCTAAAATTATGACCATAATTAAAAAAAAAAAAAAAGAACATTGCGGATGACTTTAAGAAATTGGGGTTGGGTACATATGACAGACATAACTAAACCATGTGGCGTGAAAGGGTGTGTGATTCCCGATCCCGAAGCAAACGGCAGGGCACGTGCACAGTCATGTGCTCATTAAACAGTGTTTGGTTATTTAATTTCTCTTATGCAGTAAAATATTCCCATAGGATTTGTAATTTTCACCAACTATCATAGTATTTTTTAATCCAATCACATAAAATTTGAAAAATAAAATAAAATAAAAATTAGCTTATGGGATTTTGTCAGCCAATCTCAATTATTATATACTAAAGGTAACCTGTACCTAAAAGTATAGTACAATGTGAATGATTTTGAGAAGGATATCGATAATCGTTGGATGAGTTTAATTGAGATCGCCGAATAGATTTATTAAAATCTGATATGTTTTATATAATATAGAACAAAAAAAATTAGGAGAGGAATTAAGAACCTTTCTTTCTCAAAAAATAACCACAAACAAATTTTAATCCTCAAAAAATACACGATTAAGCAAAAAATTGAACTAACTACAAAAATTAANTAAATTACTGCTTAAAAAATTAAAATAAATTTTAAACACATTAGGATCACTTCTAAAATTGATCCTAAACAACCTAATTTAATGTAATATCATACTCTTATTCTTTTTTTCCTAATACCTTCAATACATAAAGAAGAACTATTCGGTATCCTAATTCGAAGATCTATAATGAAGAGCAATGCCATTTAGACCGCTTTATTTGTCTAATTAGAGTGTCAGTAGACTCCATTATTAATTAAAATCAGCTTTCAATTCAATAATTTTGTTTTATTGAATTAAATCTAAATAATAGTTTTTCATAATGAATTTTTCCCCAAGAAATTCAACAGAAAAAGAGAATTTCTGATATAGTAAGTTCTAACCCAACAACAGTAAACTGGAGATCAACTCAGAGAAGTGAAGAACTCTCCATGAAAAACCCTAGGATGCTGACACGTGTTTGAGATGACGTCAGCGGTTCTCGAAGTTACGGTGTTGTGCTGTTGATGGTTCATTTGCGGCGGGTCCGGTTGTTGTTGACGGAGGTGCTCTTTCTGTCGCTGGAGTTCCAAGACCTTTCGGTGAGAGTTGGAGTGCTGAGTCAGCACGAAGGTTGGACTCGCGGCGGGTCGGTACTCGGGCACGAGGCGACCCGACTTGAACCTCACGCCACAAGCATTGCAAAGCGTCTTGGGCCCCAACGGTCCCGTTCTCCACTGCGGCGTCTTCTCCGACGCGCAATGCGTGCATCTACGCCCCACCATCTCCCTCGACGCCGATCGATCTCTGGTAAACGCACTCTCTCTCTTCATTGTATCGTTGCTGTTTGTAGTGTCTGGTTTGGAGCTAGGGTTAGCGATCGTAGAGTGAGATGAGGTCCAGGTGGAGGTGGTCGATTTGGAGCGTTTTCTGGGAGAGCAGCTGTGAAATGAACTGTTGTATTTAACATTTATGGTTCCGGCGAAATTGTTCGTCGGAAAATCGGAGAATGAGTCGTCGACGAAGGTAGAAAGCCATTCGAGCTGCGCTACGTCGTCATTCTACAAAAAACCCCAAAGAAATAATCAAAATCAGAACAAACTAACTAAAAATCGAAGAAAAGCTCTCTCTCTCTCTAGCTACTTGACCAGTCTAGCATACAAAATCAGGACAAATTCAAGAAAAATATGGGTTGCGTTTGTGCTTACGGGGACGCAGAGGTCGTCGGTGAAGTCGGTGAGAGAGTGATTGGGATTGGAAGTGTGGAACTGGTTGGCGGCAGCAGAGGTGTTTGCGTGTTGGTGGTCGGAAGAGGAGTCGGTGGCAGTGGTGGAGGAGAAGAGATCATCGTTGGAGAAGTCGAGAAGGTCATCAATGCGAAAGTAGTCCGGCGTCGAAAATNTGGTCGGAAGAGGAGTCGGTGGCAGTGGTGGAGGAGAAGAGATCATCGTTGGAGAAGTCGAGAAGGTCATCAATGCGAAAGTAGTCCGGCGTCGAAAATTCACCGCACATGTCCATCTTCAGTTGTGTTGTATATTCACAATCTATATATATATGTATATATATATATATGTATTTATCAATGGTGGAGGATTTTGAAGTGGGTCTTTGATAGTCAGGAGGCTCTCATCAGTTCTCCAACTGAGGAGTGAGAGTGGGGTTTGGGCTTTGGAAAGTGGATTTAAAATACTAGGGGAGGAGCAACGGAACGTGGGATGGAAGAGTGAGAGTGACCATGCAAATTCCATAGCGCTCTCTCTCTCTCACACACACAGTGTATATATCAGGGTTATATTTAATCCCCTAAAACGGAATTTTCATAATTTTTTAAAATAAAATTACGAATCGAGTGTTAATCGAATCGAATCGAATTTTTGAGCGTTTGAATTTAAGTTTATCGAATTTATTTTTTATACTAGTTTAAAAATTTATTAAAGTCTGACTTGTTTAAAATTTGAGTCCGAGTTGAGATGAAACTTTTTTAAAAAAATTGATAGCCAAGGTCATCNAATTTATTTTTTATACTAGTTTAAAAATTTATTAAAGTCTGACTTGTTTAAAATTTGAGTCCTGAGTTGAGGTGAAACTTTTTAAAAAAAATTGATAGCCAAGGTCATTAAAAGAAAAATTAAATTTATTAAATCGATAAATTTATGGGAGAGAACGGAGGTTTTTCTTTTCTTTTTTCTTTTTAAGCAACAGCTAGCTCGAGCTGTATANTATTAAATCGATAAATTTATGGGAGAGAACGGAGGTTTTTCTTTTCTTTTTTCTTTTTAAGCAACAGCTAGCTCGAGATGTATAATTATTTATTTATTTTTTATCTTTCCAGAGGCAATTGCATGGAACAGGGGCGATGAATTAATGAATACGACGCCTACGACGGTGGGTGGCGGTGTAAAAAGGTACAGTTCGTACAATTACCTTTTCTTAAAATAAAGTACGCGTAATAATCATCATCGGCTGGAGTCTTGCTTTATTAATTGGAGGATAGCATAGCACTACCACTAGCCTATCGGAAAGTTTTTATTTTTTTTGGTATTATTCATCCAAATGTTTTTTTTTAATTTATTCTTGATTATTAATTATAAAAATAATAAATTAAAATAAAATTAAAAATAAGTAAGTTTTACACTTGTCAAGATTTTATTGAAAGAAAAAAGAAAATATGATATTAAACATTTTTTTTAGTACTATATTTCATGTAAGATCACCAAATTAATATTGAATGAAGTTCACACTAATTTCATAGTTACAATACATTTTTCATATTAAATACAAATAGAATTATTATTAGTGCTCGGATCGTTTTAGAGTTGAGGGGAGAAAGTCATACTATGAATTTCGTCCAATCACGACTGCATTATTAAAAAATTATTATACATTGAATTTTATATTAAGTTTCAGTAGTATTTTTCGTTAATTACAAATCAATTAAAAAAAAAGAATTTCTTATCCTTTGATATAGTACTATAGCTGTCCTCAAACATCGTGGATGGATAACCCAAAGGATANTTAATTACAAATCAATTAAAAAAAAAGAATTTCTTATCCTTTGATATAGTACTATAGCTGTCCTCAAACATCGTGGATGGATAACCCAAAGGATAGCACGGTAGAGATAAAAACGAATTTTAAATTAAAACGTTTTAAATTTAAAATTTAGTAATTTTTAAGGGGTTAAGTTATGAAAAATTTATTCATTATAAATTTTTTAATATTAGAGTGGATAATTTATTTTTAAAAAAATTAAAAAAAATTAATCGAAATACATATAAATAAGTCTAAAATTATGACCATAATTAAAAAAAAAAAAAAAGAACATTGCGGATGACTTTAAGAAATTGGGGTTGGGTACATATGACAGACATAACTAAACCATGTGGCGTGAAAGGGTGTGTGATTCCCGATCCCGAAGCAAACGGCAGGGCACGTGCACAGTCATGTGCTCATTAAACAGTGTTTGGTTATTTAATTTCTCTTATGCAGTAAAATATTCCCATAGGATTTGTAATTTTCACCAACTATCATAGTATTTTTTAATCCAATCACATAAAATTTGAAAAATAAAATAAAATAAAAATTAGCTTATGGGATTTTGTCAGCCAATCTCAATTATTATATACTAAAGGTAACCTGTACCTAAAAGTATAGTACAATGTGAATGATTTTGAGAAGGATATCGATGATCGTTGGATGAGTTTAATTGAGATCGCCGAATAGATTTATTAAAATCTGATATGTTTTATATNTATAGTACAATGTGAATGATTTTGAGAAGGATATCGATGATCGTTGGATGAGTTTAATTGAGATCGCCGAATAGATTTATTAAAATCTGATATGTTTTATATTATAAATAACAAAAAAAAATTAGGAGAGGAATTAAGTACCTTTCTTTCTCAAAAAATAACCACAAACAAATTCTAATCCTCAAAAAATACACGATTAAGCAAAAAATTGAACTAACTACAAAAATTAANAAAAATAACCACAAACAAATTTTAATCCTCAAAAAATACACGATTAAGCAAAAAATTGAACTAACTACAAAAATTAAGAATATTAATGCCTAGAAAATCAAATTATTAATAGCTATAGAGAAATGGTATTTGGATTTAAAATGTTGACATGATTTGTTGATTTAATTCATCACAATTATTGAATACGTAGTAGGTTTTAATATTTTATTGGGACTCACAGTTAAATGATTAGTAAGTCTACAAATTATGCGTGGAAGTATAAATAGTAAAGTTTTGCCCTCTCTAATAGCTTAAGTTTTTGGAATAGATCATTATTTAATATGATATCAGAACAAAAGGTTCTTTATTTGAATTTCGCCGCTACTCCTAATGATTAAAAGATTTTTACGTACCATGCACATGAGGGAACGTATTGAAATATAAATACTTAAGTTTTACTCTCGAATACTTTAAATTTTTTGAGTAGATGATTGTTTATTTCGTACCTTTACAAGTAATTTATCAAAATGAGTTGTGCAAACTTGGCTTGGGAATATTCAGGGAGTAGTCACAAGATGGTTGTGCTGAATGAATAATAGATAATACGCTTTAACATCCAAGCCATGAAAATAATGTATCTACCCATGATAACTAAGTTGGATGCATTTGATCTTTCTACACCTCGTAAGAGCCGAAGTCTTGTTCACTCGATTGACAGCCCTNTAACTAAGTTGGATGCATTTGATCTTTCTACACCTCGTAAGAGCCGAAGTCTTGTTCACTCGATTGACAGCCCTTTTTCAATCATGATAGTAACATTCAATTTTGGAGGATTCTCTAAGATGGAAATGGATGATCAAAAGCATGCGATTCAGGTTAATGCACTAATAATCAAAAGTAATATACATGCACTTGACATACAANAAAATAATGTATCTACCCATGATAACTAAGTTGGATGCATTTGATCTTTCTACACCTCGTAAGAGCCGAAGTCTTGTTCACTCGATTGACAGCCCTTTTTCAATCATGATAGTAACATTCAATTTTGGAGGATTCTCTAAGATGGAAATGGCACTAATAATCAAAAGTAATATACATGCACTTGACATACAAGCAACATACACAATGCTATGTTTACGATTAATCTTTGGAAAAGATAGCAAACTTGAACAAGAGAAATACAAAAAGAAACAATTTTCCTTTTTTTTTTTTTATGGCATTTAGCAAAAAATAGAGCAAAACAAAAACTACTTGCGATCTTTTTTGACTTTTGCCCTTTGTTTTGTACCATTNTTTTTTTTTTTTATGGCATTTAGCTAAAAATAGAGCAAAACAAAAACTACTTGCGATCTTTTTTGACTTTTGCCCTTTGTTTTGTACCATTTTTTTTTATTTTGCTAAATGAAAAAGGTTGAGGGTACAATTGACGCCAAAACTATCCGGTTGTGACCATAACAGGCGGAACCCCTCGGGGCTTATTTGATATGTGAGTTTGGGGAAATTTTGGAACATGGGTTGAAAAACAAATCCCTTAAAACCCATGTTTGACAAATACAGAACTAGCTCAGGATTTGAAACCCAGTCTGCTTTAAGGCTAAAAATAAAACTCAAATTCATGAGTTTAATGAAACTCAGTGGGAGAGTGAGTTTCATATGTGAGTTAAAAGAGTCAACATGTAAATGACATTTATACCTTCATATATTTCATGTACATAAACAAACATGAGTTTAAATTAAATTAGTTAAAAGACATAATAACTATTTAAATATAAATATATTATCATAATAATCATATATTTGTACGCATATTAAACATGAGTATAAACGACATTAAATGTTGAATTCCTTGTTTAAATCTGAAAGGATTTAAACAAACAAATTCAAACTCCTAAAAAATCAATCAAACAGCCCCTTGGCGTAATCCTCTGGAGGACCTAGACTGTAGGTTCCACAGGCGGCCCTTAATGACAACTAAAGCAATAACTTAGACCTCAACCCCACCAAGCCACTAAAAGTCAACAGTTTACTCCCCGCCGAATTGAACCTGGGTGATCATCATTACCAGGACGGTTCTTAAGGGGTTCTATATTTGCCACTAGAACACCGAGTTCGGTAGTCAGTTAGAAAAGGAACTAAAAAAGTATCTAAAGTTACCAAAAGATCCACTCTTTGAACCCAAAATTATACAATCTGTATCTGCCACAGCACCATGAATGTGCAATAAGAAAGGTGATTACCTCAATTGACCAAACGAACCAAACATTTCATTCTAATCATAAGACGACATAGTCCAATCCAAAAATGATAGAGAATCTACAATGCATACAGATGATTCATAATACCGCAAGACCCCACTCCAGCCTCCCTCATCCAAAACCTCAGTTCAACAATATTCTTTTTCAAACATAACCTAATCCTCATTCTGACTTTCATCTTTGACAAGCCTTATCATGTCATCAATTCGAAGAATTGTTATAGCTGCTTCAGTAGCAAACTGGAAAACAAAACAAAAAAAAAACACAATAGGATTTTGATTAGCTGTTTTCCTGGTAAAAATTATTAAATGATATCTCTAATTTCCAAGATCTACCTGTAATATCTTTACTTTGCTCATCGCAGGCTCAAGTACTCCAGCTTCTAAGTTGTTACGCACGGTTCCCTTCAAGAGATCAAGTCCCATGCTGCAGTGACAAAAACAAAACCAAATCAGAAAAGTACTTGAAAAGCGAATTGATTAGACTCAGAACTTAAAACCAAGTTTAAAAATGTACTCCCTTAAATATTTTCAACAAAGTCCCCTTTATCATATTCTCATGCAACTAATCCCTAGCTAGCCATAAGAATTTCTCCCAATATTACCCAAAAAATCTTCCCCTTTTTGACACAAAGTGCCAAGCACACAAACATAACAAGTAGAGTAGAGAAACATGGTATAACACAGATATCAAGACAAAGCATCTAGCAAGAATAAGCATAACAGAACAAAAAAAGGCAACAAATGTCCGGTGTTGAAAAATTATGACGCTCTAACCAACATTTCTCTCGGTCAACATCTTCGTCATGGCACAGTTAACATTTGAAAACACATGATTTGTGGCAATGCATACCTATTTAGACCACCAAAACCAGGGAAAGAGGCTCCAAGAACCAAGCCATTGTAGCTCGGCCATAAATTTATAAGCTCCACAGTTGGTATAGTCATAAAGGTGAGCCCACAAGTCAGTGGTGCAAAATATATAGAGAGAACATTACAAAGAAACACGAGTATTTTATTTATATCTATGCAGTATTTTATTTGCCCATATAGCCAAAACTTTTATTTGTTCTACCGTCAAAAGCAATGACATAGCACAAAGTTAGACCGAGGGTTAGGTATATTAGCACAGAGCACAGCTGCATAGACGCACACCTGTTACATGTCCACTCCCAGCAAGCAACCAGGTCATGTTAGTAGCCCGCTCCAGGGTCAACGTAACTTACATGGTGTCATGTACCAAACAAATAAAATTAAGAACCAAACTTAATAAGTTTTTTGGTTAAAATTATGACAGATTGGACTGTCACAACACCAAGTCGATCCTTAGTACCAGCAGGTTCCTGCAATGCCTTGGTCAGTCCATGCACGGAGCAGCACTTAAATGCTTGCTGCACACTCCCACGTGTCAAACCCGCAAACAATCACTCCTAGGTCACCATTACAGCCACACTCACACTAGCTATGGGGGTACTCAGAGAGAGAGTCAAATAGGTCGTATCAGATGGTGGCAAAATCATCCTTCCAAGAGCTCAATACAGCTGATAGAAGAGCTAGGGATAAAATATAGCAGAACAAAGCAGCATCAGACTACCTTGAAAGATGCTTTTTATCTGCCTTGGTTTGTGCAGTGTGGTGGTAAGCCCGTAGTTTTGCAACTAATTCAGTTGCATCCTTTGCAGCATTGACAGCAAGCACCTGCACCAAAAAATCCCCCCGTGACTAAATTAACAATCAGAAAACCATGAATAAGAAGATGAAAATGTATATGAAAGCACTTTCTAGACAGGACCTTTGGTATGATTAGCAAAGATTCAGCAAACTCTGCGATTGCGAGCTGCTCCCGAGATCCTAAAGTGGTAGCCAGATACTCCAAATAAACAGATAAGGCAGCCTCAACTGCACCTCCTCCAGCAACAACCTGTTTTGCCACTTCACAATGGTAAGGAGCCCGTATGGATACAAAGAAGACCAGTAAATAAGACTACAAATCCTATCCTAAATAAACTTCCTGCTTTCTCTTTGCGTTTTACACACTTTTGGCAGCAGGACTTGGATTGTGGGCGGTTTAGTATGTGGTATTGGTAAGGGTCTTTCTTAGGTACACAGTACAATGGGAGTAAGCAAGTTAATACGGTATTTTGGATCGCAATTCGTTTTGCAACTCTTATCTAGATTGTTTTCATTACTATATAACATTATATGACATAAACCATCCATAAACACTAAGTTAGTTCCCGTTTATTTTACATTTATGCTCAATTTTCTGTTATCTAAAATAATATATAATTATAATTCTATATATACATAATCAATTAATATGTATTTCATATTTGTGCTACATGTTTCAAAGCGAAATGATTTAGGGTTAGTATTAAATTTGGGATCGTACATTTAGGTGATTAGGATCGCGAATCCACCCCGTTTAGGATCGATGTACCCAAATCATGGTTGTCTGGGGTTTAGTGAGTTCTGGTAACTACGAGTAGGACCCCTGCCAATTTAATAAAATAAGGCATTGCAAAGAACGGCATTTCTAATCAATCTTAAGGCCATCATGTGCCTATAAGAAAATAAACAACTGACAAGTAGTTTGACATCCAAAGTCTAGGCAAAAGAAAGAACTAGGCTGCAATCTCCTGTAACATTAAAGACATCATGTCCAAGGTTTAACCAGCTAAAGAATTCCATAGTTAAATTCTTAAAAGTGAACTTTAAAGTAAAAGCACATTACTAAACCTAAAAAGGAAAAAAAAAGAGTAGAAAACCAGTGCTGGGATTTACCGTATTGGATTCCAGGGTCCTCTTAACAATGCATAAACAATCATGCAAAGCCCTATCCATTTCATCAAGCATATAGTCATTTGCACCTCTGAGTATCAATGAAACCTGGGAAAAACATACCAAGAAAATTTAGACAATCACCCATCAAATCATATACCCCTTGTATTTATTTTTGTGTCACCAATGCAAATGAAAGAATAACATACTGCACTTGTGTTTTTGGTCCCTTTCACCATAATCACATCATCATAAGCAATTTGCTCCTCCACTACTTCATCTGCAGATCCAAGAAGCGAGGAATCAAATGTTTCCTCTCCTTCCATATCAGCAAATGTTGAAACCTACATACCAGAATGGACAAAGAAATACATAAGCATGTCGACAATATCTCTACCACCCAAAGGATCAACAAAAAAGATATGTAACATTGAGCAAAATCAAAAAGATAAAACCAATTTAAATCTTTTTTTCACCATTCTACTCTGTCAAAGGCTACATGGCTTCTAGGTCACGAATAAAAAGATAGGATGAAATAAATCAATTCCATGGGGAAATTGCAACTGTTTACATAACCGTCTCATGTATTCTTACATAACCGTCTCTCTCTCTCTCTCTCTCTCTCTCTCTCTCTCTCCCCCCCCTATAAAGGGAGAAAACAATCTAACTCCACCTCTATTCATAATCTAGACCAAGAATTTTTGCTTGTTTGATTACACACATCATGTAGTCTTCGCTTTCTAGTTTGAAGCCCAATATAAGATGGACAACTACAACAGAAGGAGGAAGCTAAACATATGTATNCTAACTCCACCTCTATCATAATCTAGACCAAGAATTTTTGCTTGTTTGATTACACACATCATGTAGTCTTCGCTTTCTAGTTTGAAGCCCAATATAAGATGGACAACTACAACAGAAGGAGGAAGCTAAACATATGTATCTGAAGTCATGTTGGCTTCAAGTTTTTTCCCCACATGTAACAAAAATTGTATATTTTTGAGAGTTAAGCAATATAAAACTGATGGAACAAGGAAGACAATGAGACAATCAAAAGGTTGCCATTTAGAGCCATTACATTGAAATTCTTATCATACACACATCGAACATAAACATAGATCATTCCAAAGCTCCTAGACATACAAACAGATATAGAAATTTCAACATGCAACCTCCGAACAGAAACGAAATTGTAAGAATGCTGCATAATCATTTGCATGCCTGAAGGAGCCCCTTTTCTATTTATGAGAGCTAGTAAAACCTTTTTGCGACAAGCTTCTCTTTACACTTTCAATTTATTGCCAACTATCTTAGGTGGTAAAATCTATAGGTTGCCAAACTAGAAAAACGGCTCCTTCCTTGCCTTGTTGGGAGGGTTTAAAGCATTATGAGAGACACCTTTCAACTTCACTGTTTTGCATGCAGGTTAATAGAGGTTTCATAATTGGACCATTCTCATAAGCTCACAGTTCAAGTATCATCACTCTTCAAACAGATATCAACTAAAACTAGAACATTCATAAGAGCTATTTATGAAAGCAGATTAGAAGTTTAGAAATGTACCACAGTTGCACCGGTCGCCTTGGCAACATGGCGTAAATCCTCTTTCCGGACACGTCTCACAGCAATTGCACCAGCTTCCACGAAGTACTGAAACAACATTAAAGTAAGCAAAATTTAAACAAATATCCATCAAAGCCAGTACCTCACACTGAAAACTATCCACAGATGCTACATCAAGAATGATACCGCATGGAGTTGATCAGGGCTGGCTAATTGACCCCACTGAATTTTGAGAATTATAGATATATAATATTTTAAGAAATTTTGGGTGATGTTGTATTGACCTCACTGGCTTTATCAATGTTTAGGAAATTGGTCCTTGGTGGTCAAACCCGGTGTCCAGCCTTACATCTAACCCTGGTGACATTACATGGTTTGGTTAACAATTTTAGCACCAAACAGAGATCAGTGTGCAGTATACAAACAGATTTGTATACCCAAACATATCATTCTCTATGAAAAACTCCCTCATTCTCCCTCATGCACAAACAGATCTCTCTCTATCTGCCTCTCTCTTCCCATTTTAAACATAAACATGAACTCTCACATTTCTGGTTTGAGTTTGAGCTAAACTCATAAAAATCCTCTGCTTCACCATTGGATTTTGTTGTCAATACCTACGTAGTTAAGGTGGATGTTGCACCAATCAGACACACCAACAAGTATAGTTAAAATAAAGAAACAGATGAACCACAACACCCGAAGGCATCCATTGAACCAAGACAAGCGTCTTAATGTAGGCTGAGTGGTCACTTTCCAAAGGACACCATATGAGTAAATATATTCACAAGGGTATTAAGAATCTAACCACAGCGAACTACACCAATTAAGGAAACAAATCATGAAGAAGCTTGCCTTGAGTGCCATATCATCAATTCCTTTCGAGGTTAAAACAACATTGGCACCAGCCTTTAGAAGCTTCTCAATACGTTCTTTAGTCATATCAGCTTCTCTGAACAGATAAAAGTCACATTAGTTTGCATCACCCCACATAAAAAAACTTCAGGAGCAGATAGGTTTTTTTTTTAAAAAAATATGACATGCCGTCTAAAACTTTCCCGTCACAAATAACTGATATAAAAAATCTCAGAAAGCATGCCATCCAGGAATGGAATGGTGATCCCATTTCAGTGTCATAGTTAGCATATCTCAATATCTTTTCTAAGGAAAGTGTGACATCCATGTCTGTACTTTAAGAGTCAGAATTCTTTCACCATCAACCCCTATATGAAGTTGGATGTAGACAGGTCATAAAATCTCACTGCACAGAACTTCCAAATCAGACCATCGTGTAACAAAACAATCCTAAAATTGTTTACTAGACCCCTCACCTTTGGCGAATCTTTTCAAGCTCTCGGGGATCGGACACTAGAACCTGAACACCCAATTGCATTTTTGTCTTTTGAAGATTAAAATCAAGACAAGCAATCCTTGCAGGGGCAACTCTCAGTGGCATTCCTTGGGCAGCTCGGCCTGTATTTAGAGCATAGCCTTTCAATAGGTAGCTCTCCCTTGCACTTTTTCCATGAGCTTTAAGTATATTAATTCCCTGAACAGCAACAATTGAATTAAATATTAAATATCTGAAAGGGAGTTTAAATCCGAATTGACAGTCTGATAAACAAAAATCCACAAATGATTTCATAAATCTATGTTTAATAAATCTAATACTCTCAGATTAATGCATAATTCATTAGCACTTTCTCCAAAACCTAGGCGTGCTCTACAAAATTCCATGTGCTAAGACTAACCCATATGAAATCAACTAACCTTAATTGGATACCTAATTTCACCCCGTGCATTGGTCATCTTGACTGCTTGTACCGCTTCCACAACCTAAAAGCATAATTAAATGTGTCAATATTTTTCAGAGACTTAACGGATATTTATTTCTACAAATAAAGGAAACTGAAAACCTTGAATAAGAAAGGCATCTTTTATAGCAAAAAACTCTTTCTTGATAAAATAAGAAAAGGCATTCACTGATGCAACATGAAAGCCACTACAATAAGGAATTACTCCTTGGATAGATTGTGGTATTCAATGAAATATAACAACAATTATGACCAAATATTGCCAATCATAACACAAAATTGTAGCGGCACAGTCAATAAAAGGCAAAGCCTCAAACTTCAATCACAGAAACTTCAACTAAAACAGAAACAGGACTAACTCCTCAAGTTAATTTGCCAACATCAGATTCTATGAACAGTTGTTCACAGCCAACTCAAATTCTCATCGCAAAATATCAAACACAGTCTAAAAGCATCCATGTCAAAGAAAAAGCCAACAAGACCAAATTTCATTGAATAAGGGAACCAAGTAGAATCAAAGAGGCCTATGGAAAAATAATGTTGGGATTCGGACTGCCGAACATAATATAATATTCAAGTTAAGCTGCAGTAAAATTCCATTAAGAACTGAAATATTGTCGATAAGATAAATTCACATTTTAAAAAACAAATCCACATACCAAATTGGCAAAGAAGTCACTATCACCAGCTATCAACTTGGAGGACATGCTCGTCTTGGCACAATTTACAAGTGCATCTTTTCCAAGCTTTTCAACCTATAAAAAAGATAAAACAAAGATCTGGTTAAGATCATCATATAGTGACGTATTAAAGCTATCCACTACATAGCAGCACGTGCAAAAGCATGCAACCAAAAAGGCCAAACCAATTTCGTATGGTTTCTAACCTAGAGATCTTCTGAAATCAGAGTTATTCCAGTCCAATCAAAAAATGAGGTCAGTCCAGATAATTGACAATCCTAGCTACAGTCATATGAACAATATAGTATCAAGCAAGGCATTGTAACCTCAGTAGAATGAGCTCTTTAAAATAATGTCTGAGGTAAGGCCAACGAACAACTTTATGTATGGCATAAGTACCAACACGTCAGCTGTTGAACACCGTCTACTCTAAAAGCTTAAGCTGTTATACATTGGTTTAACTTAAGTCTTAAATATTTATACCTCAATACATCTCCTCACACATGCAGGCTAGATTTTGAGTCGATCATGTGGGAATCAATTAATAATTAAAGTGGCAACGAGATTCAAGCACAGGACCTCCAACTTTGATACAATGGTGAACACCATCTACTCTAAAATCTAAAAGCTTAATTTGTAAGAGATGGGTGTAACTTAAATATTTATTCCTCAACACCATCCATAAGTCATCATAATTCGTGGAACCAACGGATTAGGCATAGTGATTCACATGCATGCATACACAAGACTTTCAACAAGAAACTTAAATAAAGGTTTGAACACGTTTTCAAAGACCAATTGCATGGGGAGCATTACCTTCACAGCCAATTTGTCATCAACATACTTGCATGCTTCCCTCATAGCAAGCTGCCAAAAATTAAGAATAATCTCACTAATATGCATGTCTGCACAGAATTTTTTTTTTGAGGGGGTAATAGAAGTATGATCTCAACTATATCCTATACAAGTTAGAGAAGGAAGAAATCTCAAATTTGAATACTCACTCTGTATCCACTGATTATAGAGGTTGGGTGAATCTTATTTCTCACCAAGTCATTTGCTCTCTGCAATTATTAATGATCAAATTATCAAGTAGAATACAATTTCTGGAAAACTACTCTTTAATCAGTGATAACTGGAAAAAGTCAAAATTTAGCATGCAAAATGAGATACCATATGCCATTTATACAACTCAAATCAATCAGAGATATAACCTTGAGCAATTCTGCAGCTATAATAACAACTGAAGTTGTCCCATCTCCGACTTCTCGATCTTGGAGCTCAGCCAACTCGACAAGAACCTATAATCATTTAAAAAAGGTAAATGTACAAAAAATAAAACCATAGGCGAAGTTAAACAATGGAATGAGCAAAAACAGGTGCTATCTGCCACCTTGGCAGCTGGATGCTCGACTTCTAACATCTTGAGTATTGTAGCACCATCGTTGGTAATTGTTACATCGCCAAAATCATCCACAAGCATCTGAAATACAAAATTAATAACACAAGAATCAAGTTATATACTATCACACTAGATAGACATACAATCTGAAATTTCAATTCCCAAACCTAGCAATTTAGAAATGTTTGAAATTTCCAAAGTTATGTTACAGTTGTCTATGCCACAACATCTAACAAGATCATTGATGAGATATTTCAGCTGCCAGTTGCATCCCAATTAGCAAATGTAGACAATGAAATCAAGTTTATTTGTTCAACAGGCACTTGTACAATTAATTATACATCACAGGCAAACAACTTCAATTAAGTTGGCACAGTTGAAGAAGCATCAAAAATTTGAAAGGCTGAACATAAAGGCACTCCATTCTTATCTTATTCAACATTTCTAGCTCAATCATCATTTAATCAAGTTTTGACCCCATGCCACAGAAGGCAAAATGAAGAACAATAAATTGTCACAGGCAGCTTTTGACTACTGTAGTGACAATCTAAACATAATATCTGTTTATATTTGTGAGAGACACTTGGATTGTCGGTTATTTTAGTCTTGTATGACTACACTGATTTGCTGGATGCCTTCCTAAAATACAAATAACCTCTGTCCCTATCTCCTTCCTCTCAAACATGCGTGCACACACAGAGCTTTCTTAAGAACTCAAAAACTACAACAAAGAGTAAAGAAACAAAATTAAAAGTTAAACAAACATGGTTAGAAATGTTAGCAAGTAAATTAAATCGTAAATCCCATAACTCTCCACTTGTTTATTCCAAAACCTTACTTCCCCATTCTTCCCTAACCAATATGCTCCCCACAGGACCCAGTTAAATCGGGAGAAACTTGTATAAACAGAAGACAAATAACAATCAACAGGTCAACTAATTTCAAAGTTTACGTGCACATGATGGGTGTTAGTAGACAANCACAGTTAAATCGGGAGAAACTTGTATAAACAGAAGACAAATAACAATCAACAGATTCAACAGGTCAACTAATTTCAAAGTTTACGTGCACATGATGGGTGTTAGTAGACAAAACTTTTCAAACTGTTTGTATTGCAACCTTAAAGAAATGTAAAGCCACATAAGTAAGGGAAGCAATATGACATGATTGTGTAATGTTTGGCAGGAATATAAGATCTGGGATGATTGTAGCGTATGCTACACAGTCCAAAGAAACTCAAACACTGCAGCTCATCAAATTTCCAATCGGGTCTCACCATACCCCGTACAGGAGCATCACCAACCAATGATCCACCAGACCCAGTTCGAGCTTACCTGGTTCTATGACAAAATGCCTCCAAAACTTAGAAATCTGCTTCTTCCTTGTTAGCTTAGTTCTTTTAAGTAGTTTATTACACTGCTTCTTCCTTGTATTTCAGTTTCAATTAGGGAAGAGAAATGGGGGCAAATTCTGAGCATGCTTAAACCATTTTTGGAACTTCAAAAACTAAACATTTCCACTTTTCATTTTGGGTTATAAACAGGCCAAACAAAATGAAAAAACAAGCCAACATTTCCACTTCTCAGTAATCATTTCGATAAACTTAAAGCGAGTACATACCTTGTCGAGTCCAACAGGACCAAGTGAGGACTTCACAATATTTGCAACTGCTTGACACGCCATCACTGCTCATTCCAATACATCGCTTCTTAACATAAACAACTTACAAATATAATGTATACATACAGATATACTTACATATATATGTATATATAGAGAGAGAGAGAGAGGGAGAGTACCATTTTGGCTGCGGACATCTTGTCCAGATTGGCGGTCGCCTAATATGTCGGGAGTTTGAGCAGAAATCGCCATTTTCCGACTGAATTTTCGCGGAAAATCAACCGGCCAATGAGAGGAAAAACCCTAGAAGATGGATCGGAGGCTCCGAGCAAAACACGAGTTTGCTTTGCAGTTCAGAAGAGTGAGCGGGGCTTTCTCTGGAAGGTTACGTAGGGTTCGAGGTTTAACTTTGAACTTGGTGTTTGAAAAGCTACGACGTCGCTTCTTCTTTTTTTGGTCTATTGGATAGGCCTTCGCATTTGCCAACTGTAAACTTGGGCCGGCCTTTTAGATTTAGGAAGAATTACATTCGAACCTCACGAGTTTAATCAATTAACCACTCAGCTCATTTGATATTTAAAATATTACATATAAATTTCTTAAAATTTATACGCATATAACACTTAAGTCCTTGTTATAAATATATTCATTAATAAATTACACCCAGACTAGGGATAGCAGTGAATCGAAGCGGGAACGGGGGTGTAGTTTCCATCCCCATATCCGCTTAAAAAAATTCTATACATCTTTGATCCACCCTTGTTAATGGGTATATTTTTCATCCTCATTCTCATCCGTTGGTAAATTTGTAATTCTAGCCCCGTCCCCCGCCTTCACCCCCACCCCGCCTCTGTCCACTTTACTCGTCTACAGTGTAAGTCCAAACCAACATAATCCAAAATTCTAAATAAATATAATATTTTAAATAATTCAACATAATTAGAAAATATCATAACATAATTAAAAACTTGTCATTTACTACATAATCCAACATAATATAATTAAAACATTGTCTCACATATAAATCCAACACAATATAATGCAACACAACATAATGTAACATAATATAATTCAACATAAAAAAAAATCAAAAACACAAAGATCTATACTTTTACAAGTAAAAAACATGAAAAAAAATCAAAAAATAAAATAATTTTTAAAAGAAAAAATCATTCAATAATATGTAGATTTGTATTCATAACATGTATATATATAAAATAATAAGAATAATAACGGGTAAGGCGGGGGCAGGGAGGGGGTAAGTATCTGTTCATCCCCACCTTTATTCTCACACGAATTTATACGGGTATTCTTATATACATCCACCATTCAATACGTATGGTCCACCTCTTGTCCAAACATGACGGGTTTGGACGAATACCCATTTTTACTCGGTCTATTGTCATTCCTAATCCAGACCCCTAAAGTTTGTAAACATATATTACTTATACCTCTTAAGTTTAAAATATTAAACTTAGACAAAAAATACTTCAATCAAATATAAAATATAAAATATTTTAATTTTACAATTAAAATTCATGTTCTGTTGTATCATTTATTAAAATAAAATATTATATTGTCTATTGAAATTTAATTTAGTTGTTTAAATGACCAAATTAAAATATCAAACTACCCCCAATTAATGCTAAAAGATATTGAGTCCATTACAGTTTGACCATTTGTTTTATTTTTTTTGTCTTATTCTAATAGATAGTATAATTATGTACTAATTATGATTTTTTTTGAAAAAAAAAATTAGATATTTATTTTTGATTTTATTTTAATAAATGACATAATGTAACATGAATTTTGGATATAAAATTCATGTTCTATTATGAATGACTTAGACCCTTTATTTGATTTTTTAGTTTTATTCCAATAGATAGTATAATTGTACACTAATTACGATTTTTTAAGAAAATATTAAATTTTTAATTTTAATTTTATTTCAATAAATGATATAATAGAATATAATTTTTTGTTGTCAAATTTAAAATATTTGATATTCTATTTTTGATTAAAGTATTTTTGGTTTAAATATAATATTTTAAACTTAAGGGATCTAAGTATGATATACCTACAAATTTTGAGGGGTCTAATTATAATTTATTAACTAATATATTTATAGCAGGGGTTTAAGTGTTACGCGTACACAATTTTTAGGGGGTTTGTGTGTAATATTTTAAATGTTAGAGGGTCTGAGTGATTAAGTGATAAATTTAATGGGGTCTAGATGTAATTCTCCCTTAGATTTATACCATTTTGGGCTTTTTAAGGTAAATATGGAGGAGTAAATATTCAATGTAACGGTATCGATACGTTATCACTCTTAAGTGATAGACTATTTATTATAAGTATTTAATAATCATGTTAATTTTAGAATCGTATCATTTTAGGTTTATGTTGATGGATCTGAGTTAACACAAGATAATTATTGCATTGCATGGGTGGGTAGTTACTTATTAGTTTAGGATTCACTTGCTCACTTATTATCTTGTTATTGAACGATACACCACGTTAACATTGTAACATGTACTTAGATCTCCTCCAATATATATATTTTTTTAATTCTTTCTAAGTAGTATCGTGCATTTAAGTAAGGCCCATCGTATACAATTGAACCTCTTCTCCTACTGAAGACAAGATTGACAACTGATCTTTAAGATTATCTAAAATAATACCATATAACTATACAGCTGGAGTTTTTTTGATTTATTCAAATTCAGTGTAAACTGACTGCTGCAAAATAAGACGTTCAATTAAACTAGAGTTCTATAAATACTTGTATTAGATTACATGTACAATCAATGGAAATCAAATAGAAAAATGTCCTACAAATTGACTTTTCACTCGTATGGCAACCCTCATAGAAGGTGTTGTTGCACAAGTCATGACCTACGCTACATCATATGAAGTTTGGCATGCCCTAGAAAGGAATTTTTCTTCCCTGACTGATTACTTCATGTCAATTAAACGAATTACCAATGAGTTTGCCATTACAGGTCAAACACTTACTTGTGATGCGGTCATCACATATCTTTTGGCAGGTCTCGGTCATGATTATGACTCATTTGTGGCCTTCTTTACTACTCATGTAAATCCTATTACCTCGGAAGAAGTTTATTCCTTCCTCCTAACTAGTGAATCTCGTATTCAACATAACAATCAGTCACTGCAGGCCTCCGATTCTACCAATGTTGCTACTTGGCAATCTCAGTCTAAGCAACAATTTTAGCCTCAACAAAATTTCCAGAATATTGGAAAAGGTCGTAGAAACAATAAAGGTCGAGGACATGACAATCGTGGTGGTGATGGTGGAGACCGCAACCAACCAACCTTCACTTATGTCATTTGTTAGGTATGTGGCAAACCCGAACTTTCAGCTTGCCAATATTTTCATCGTTTTGATCTTCAGTGTCAAGACCTCTCCAACCAAGCCCGTCAACCACAAGTTATGGTAGCTGCTAACCAACAACATGGAAGAGATGATTGGCATCCTGACACTAGAGCAACACATCATTTGACTAATGATGTGAACAATCTTCATCTGAAGAATGATGAATACGAAGGATCTAATCAAATCCAAGTTGGAAACAGTGCAAGTTTGAGAATTACAAAAAATGAAACTTTCACTATTTCTTCCTCTTCTCTAAAACTTTTGTTTTGTCCCAAAGTTCTTCTCGTACTTGAAATTTAAAAAAATTTTCTTTCTGTCTACAAATTCTATCAAGATAATAATATATATTTTGAATTTCGTGCTTCTTACTTCCTTGTGAAAGATTACCCGAGGAGTGTCCCTGCATCATGGACATCTTAGTGAAGGATTCTACACTTTATTCAATTTCCTTCGAAAACTCTAAACCGAGTGCTTATTCCAGTGTTCAACTTTCACTCATGAATTGACATCATCAGTTGGGCCATACCTGCATTGATGTTGTGAAGAAAGTTGTACCTATTTCTTTTTTAGTTGCAAATAACGAGCACTCTGTCTGCTCAGAATTGTCAGATGGCCAAAAGCTATGCTTTACCGTTTCGATAAAATCATGTTTTTGTTTTAAAACCATTGGAAGTTGTTTATTTCGATGTATGGGGGCCAACTTCAATTATCTCTACCTTTGGAGCTTTGTACTATTTTAGTTTTTTTAGATGATTGCACTTAGTTTTTAACTTTTTATGGTAATTCCCAAGAAAACTTAAATCCGATGTTGAACATGTTTTTCTCCAGTTTCAAAATTGTGTCGAGCGTCATTTTGATTTGAAACTTGAATCTATACAGACAAATTGGGGAGAAGAGTACAAATGCATTAACAAATTTTTTAAAGCAATTGGAATTGAACATTAGATTGACTATGCACATATGCATCAACAGATGGGTGCTATTGAGCGTAGGCATCGATAAATTGTTGAAATGGGTCTATCTCTCTTGTCTCATTCCAATTTGCCATAAGCTTTTTGGGAAGAAGCCTTTCAACCTGCGACTTATATTATTAACGCATTACTGACCCCAATTTTAAATCACAAAAAGTCCTTTTGAAGTTGTCCACAAAAAAAGATATCAGACTACAATTTTATGAAAATCTTCGATTGCACTTATTGGCCTTATTTACGTCCCTACAATACACATAAAATTAACTTTATATTCATAGGCTACGACATCTATCATCGAGGCTACAGGTGCTTGGATTTGTCAACCAAAAAATATGTGTTGCGTCATGACATATTTTATGGAGTCTATTTCGATATCAAAAACCTAAGTCTCTTCAAGTATCTACTATGGACTCTTAGCTGGTTGTTCTCCCTTCCAATTTGAAAACCTCTTATGGCTCTAGTTCCAATTTATTTACACTTTCAGGTACAACTTCGTAGCAACATCTTCCACTTAGGTAGTCGTAGTCATCATATACTCATGATTTAGAAGGCTATCCTCTAGCAAGGGATGTCGTGTTAGACACTCATGATGTTTTTCCAAAAACAACCATTCAAGCTCCAAAACAACCTTCTTTATCTCCACATCCTGATACTCGAAGTAAAACTCATGGAATGATAACTTGGTCCAAAAACCATATCTTCAAACCCAGTAGGCAGTATGACGATTCCATCAAATACCCTCTTCGGCGCACTCTAATTACAACATCCATATCATCTGAGATTGAACCAACTTACTTCACTAAAGCGTCTAAACATCAACACTGGAAGCAGACTATGAACGAGGAATTTGACACATTATTGTGCAATGGAACATGGTCCCTTGTTTCACCACCTCAAAGTGCTAACATCGTTGGTTGTCGGTGGGTATATTAGATTAAATGAAGAGCTTATGGCACCATTGACAGATACAAAGCAAAACTAGTTGTCAATGGGTATCATCAGCAAATAGGTCTTGTGAAACCCGAAAAAATTTAAACTTT